TGTAGGTCTTTAGCTGTCTAATTTTTGTGAATTTGATTATCTTGGGGAAAACCACTCCAGAAAACCCATCCATGTTAAATAATCATAATCATAGATACTCTCAGCTTGCAGTAAAATCCACAACACATTCCCATCTCACTCTCACGCATTGAAACATAGGCCAGGGGAATGGAGCAAGGCCAGTTTCCTAGATGAGGATGCAGGTGCCACTGGTGCTTTAGAAGAATGTGGTTCATGACTTCAGAAAATCTACTAGAATCTCCCTTTTCCTCTGCACTGTTTCTTGGAGAATGATACTCCATCCTCCACAGTAAAAAATGAATCAGGGTCAGTATCAATGGAGTGGTCCCCTGATGCAGAGCCCAGACTTAGGAGCAGCTTTCCTTCCCAATATATATATATTTTTTTATAACAGTCTTTTAGAACAGAAGGGAAGCGAATAGGCTTATAACTTTTAAACTTGTGCTTAAACAAATTATAGTCCACTACTTATCACTGTGTGTATACAGGACTTGCAAAACTGAACACTCAAGCCCACGGATCTTTGGTGCATGGTGCCTTCAATCAGCACAAAGTGAAGAGAATCACACAGGTAACCTGCCCCAAGGTACCCAGAGCAGCAAGAAGGAGCCTGCAGAGGCTCTGCGCACCCCTTCCTACCCCCTTCTCACCCCCTCCTGAAACATCCGTGATCCCAACACAAAAGATTTGCTTGCTTCATAGTTAGGCAAATGTGGAATCATGAAAGAATAAACTAGGTTGAATTGTGTGGGTCGCAATGTTCAAGATATATGTGGGGGGCATTGTCCGTGTGTTTGAGTGTGATTTAGCTCCTGCATTTTTGTCCCATGTGGCTTACGATTATATGGACATGCCAAGCTGCATCTGTCCATGTGGCTATTGATAGACACCTGGGCTCTTTCTAACTGGAGGTCTTTTGAATACAGCTGCTGTGATACACATACCTGGTGTGCACCTTTTGGTGGCCTCGGGGCTGTACTTTGGCTGGCATTGACCTAAATGTGAAATCACATGCTTGTGAGTGTGTCGAGGTTCTACCTGAGAAATGACCATGCATGTGTTGCGCTCAGAGGTCAAGACCCAGTTTCTTCCCACCACGAACTCATGAAGATTCTATTTGCCTCACAACCTCCCATCACAGAGATGGACATTTCAATTTCCATTGTGCTAGTAATTAGTGAGCATGGATGTTTCTTGATATTTTACAGGAGACCCTTGGATATCTCTTATGAAGTTCACATTTATTTCCTGGCTTTTTTTCTATTTGGTCATATGCCATTTTCTTATTGATTTTAGAGTTCTTTATATATTCTGAGTATAAGCCAGGTGATGGATATAGAGCTTGAAATAATTTCTCCAGTGTCCTGGCTTCTCCGTGGACTCCAACACAGTTAACTGATGGTCAACTTTGCGGTCACTCATGTCAGATCTTTGCTTGTGCGTGGAGATTTTCCCTGCTGAGGTCCTCTACATCCATCACAGTGTGGACGCCCTTTGCATCTGAGTGTGGCATGATTAATGACTTTGTGTTGTATTGCTCTCCTCATGTTGCAGCCAGTGTACCCTCCCCAGTGATGGACAAGATGGCCTTCCCTGCTCTCTGCAGTGGCAGGTGTGCCCGGTGGGTGGAGGATCCTGGGTGTGAGTGAGCACCACGTTCTCTGAGGATTCCAGGGTCTGCTGCCCTCATCCTGCATCTTTATCTGTCTTAATTAGTGTCACAACAAGTCCTGGCAAGCATGTTTCCTCCACCTTGGCTCTGATTCCTCCTCGTACTTCCTAATCTTCTTAACCTTGACATTTTTATATATCTTAGAACCAGCATGCATATTTTGGCCAGAGCTATGTCAAGATTCTGACCAAATGTGCATTATTCTAGGATCAATATGGTGAAATGGACTTCTTCCCTCTATCCTTCTTCCCACATTAGCTCTCCTTTTATACATTTCTTTTTAAAAAAAAATTCTATGGAATCTTTAATCATTTTCCTTGTGGATTTTTAATCATTTGTTTTTGAGGATCTTCCTTTAGATTTATTTCTGGTATTTAATTTTTTTGGGGGGGTCCTGTTGTAAAGGGCAACATATTGAAAACCATTACAACACTTTGTTGATACAATATATGGGTGGTATTCAGACAAAAAAAAAATGCACGGATGTGGTAATCAGCAACCTTGACAAATCTACTCCTTAATGCTATTTTTTCTATAGCTGGTTGGCATTTTCATTGTATACGGGTCTGCATGTGCATGTCCATATACATTCATGCTATGTCACCATATAAATTTTACTTCTTCTTTGCCTTATGTAGATAATTCCTTGGACTTGGGGACTGATCAGGTCCTTGGTAGAAAGTTGAGTAGAGGTGGGACAACAGGAAGCTCCTGCTGTTCCCAAGTCCCAGGAGACAGAGTTCAACCTGCAGCCATTAGGGTTAAGAGACAACCACGGAGCAGACTGACAGACTCTTCCCACAAAGGACTGCAGAGCAAACAGCCAGAACTCGTGGTCTTTCTATTCCTCCTTCTCCTCCTCCTTTGATGAACATTTAAAAACCCCAGGTAAAGAGGGCATTAGTGCTACGGAGGGAGTCCGCAAACTCCAGCTCTCTGATGAAGAAAGTTCTGGACTCTTCCCATTTTCTACCCGTCAAAAATGCAGAGTTGTAGTTTTCAAAGAATTGTAGCCACAAATAAGACCAGGCATTTTATATATTTTTCCCTGAGTCTTTTGAGATGACTCTTATTCCTTCATGGGTCTGAAAATTTACATGTTGTTATTTTTGTACCTAATATATAATAAAATATTTTATTTTCGTAGCTTTTTAAGCTAGCCATAATACAACATCTTTACACATTCATTCATATTAAAATAAAAGATTTAAAAGCTGTGGTGTTAACCGGCTTCTATAATTCACCCTCAGAAGCAGCTACTTTTGTGGGTTAGTGTCTTGATTCTTTTGTATAGACCCTAAATTAAAATGTGCAAAATCTAATCATGTGACTCTGCAACTCCTTGATATTGTTGGCTGAACAGTAAATGTGCTTGCCTAAAAAGAGA